CTGTGTTTGTCTGTGTGTGTGAGAGTGTGTGTGTGTATATATATATATATATATATGTCTTTTTTATTTATTTTTTCAACACTCATACATGACCCCAACCTTTTAGGAATGACATCCATTTTCAAAGTATCAAAAATAGAATTGTACAGTCTCTGTTGCTTTACCATAATGTAAAATGGGAACATATTGTTCGGTCTTTGGTTGTGACAGAAGAGGACGGCAGCCAGAGTTTACTGTCAATGCTGGTTTTGTTTCTTTGTCGTTTTGTTGAATCAAGTCTTTCAAGCTGCAGAACCAGCTTTATATGCAAAAAAAGCCATCTCCCTTCTCCCACCCAACCCCTCAACGTCCAACCTATGCCCCCAAAAAACAAACGAATAAAAAAAAGTTACTGACTTATGTCTTAGTCATGAAAAATAAAATAAAAATCAACCCACAACAGCATACAGACACACTGACAAACAGGTCTTCAAACAAGTTAAGGCATCCTAATAGTTTACATAGTGACATGATACTCTCACTATCTGAATGTTTTTTTTCTTTCTGCTCTGTGAAGTTCATAAGCAACATTATTACAAATAGTTTATAATCTCATTTTTCATCTTTAATGTCGTATATCACCTTTGCTGCTGTTATAGTTTGCATAGCCTAAATACATGTGTGTGCTTCTGTTGTTGAAAATAGGACTCTTACAATTCCTGTCTTCTGTACAGCATATTTGGTACAAACACCATCCATCCATACACACATACACACACACGCACACACACCTGAACCTATTAAGATGCTTGCACTACGTCCTTGACAAGGCAGATTGGCTGATGGGCAACTCCAGGATGCTAACAGAATCAATCAAGCATCTACAATAAGTCTACAGTCTACTTCTATAGGCATCAAGGTCTTTTTTTCTCTTATTTTTTTCTCATTTTTAAAGGCATTAGGCAGAATTTTAATGCATAGCAGAATCATTTTCACCTGGAAACTGACTTCAAGCTGTCAAAAGCAAACACTCCTTAGCTCTCTCATGCAGGAGCAACATTGTCAAGCTTAAGGCAAAACAGCCAAAGGGAATCTGCACCCGGGAATCTGTCCGTCCGCATCCACGCGTCGCATCTGCCTGAAAACACTCTCTCCTCCAGACTGTGTTATTGCTGCCCTACAGGCCCTGCATGTCTGTCAGAATCTTATAATATTAATGAATACATCATGGAGAAATAGACACCATTCTGGAGACAGTTAAGGAGAAGTATTTAGATTGGGAACAGCAAACATCGATTGTTGCAAACGGGATGTGGAAGGAACAGGAACCCTGTTACATCCAGACGCTGTTCTCCACCCTTTGGGATTGTTCAACACACAAATGGAATATATAGACATCTTTAAGTATAAAATACCTCCAAACGTTTTGTCAGATTATTTCCCATTATATGTCGCCTAGATTGCCATACCATCACAAAATATGGTGGCTGTTAGAAATGAGAAGGCACACGAGGGGCCCCTGGGATCTGGAGAATTATTGCATGAAAAGAAATTTTCCGAAGCGGAGAGGTCCGTCTCTGTGGGTTCATAAAAACACTTCTCTGTAACGTGGAAATAACAGGCCTCTTCTGTGATCTGTGGATGAACATGATCAAGAGGGCGAACTGAAACCATCCCTCCTCAGGACGCATGAAATCATATCCACATGACTCAAATCTGTTTCCCAAAGAATATTACAGTCAAACTCAAAGCCAGCTGTGCAAAACAACAACAACAACACAACAACAAAAAGCTTTCGCTACCATTCAAAGCTGCTAAGTGTTAATAAGGCATTTGTTCAACTTGAAGAGGATAAAAGGGGGGGGGGGGTAAAGATAAAACAGAAGAGAAAGAAGGAAGGAGGGGGGAGGAGAGGGGGGTCATGTACAGATATCTACATGGCTGCATGGTTACTAAAAGTTGTCGGAATGTTGCAGGTTGCAGATCCCAGATCAGCTCATCCTCCCTACCAGTTTCCCTGCACTCCAGCACCTGAATGGTTTTAGCTTTTATAAGGGAGAAAAACAAGGAGCGGACGGTGCTGTCATCACTAACCACGAGCACAAACACTGGGACCGGACAGGAACTACTCTCAACGTTCAGGCCGAGCAATTTTTTGGCTAATCATTTATTTTCCCAGAATTCTTTAACCCTAAAATGTCAAGTGTGAATCACAAGTGTGATTCATTTTTGCCACATCATGCCCCACTTTTGCTGATGCTCGCTCAGGCAATCACCAATGTTCTGTAGCATGCTGGGAGTTTCGGTATCCTGCTGTTTATAGAAATTTTCGCCTGAGAAACTCTTTAACTTCAGAGAACTGAAACCACCTTCAGACCGGTTTTGAATCCTAGCTCTGGCTTCCTGTGAGAGCACCGTGCGCTCTCTCTCTCTCTCTCTCTGTCTCTCTCTCTGTCTCTCGAGACGTCTTCATTCATGAAGGTAATTGCTGGTGAGAAGGGGGGGGGGACGACAACACACGCTGCCGTATTGTCTCCGATACAGAAAGTTATTTGAAAAAGTAAGTGCTCCGAACTCACGGAGAGAGCTGATTGGTCAGGAAGACAGCAGTGCTTTGAAAGGTCAGGCGCACACCTAATGAAGAGGGACAGCTCACGTGTTGACAATCTCATTAATCCTCATTATTCTCCAACCATTTCAACCTACATTCTCTCACTCGGCTTTCAGTTTAATCTGCGCAAAGTTGCGAGTTCCGTATCTCTATCTCTAACTGAGAGGAATAGTAGAGTTTTAGATATATTCAGAGGAGACACATAAGCTTGTCTTCTTGTCAGGCTGGTGGTCTAGCAGCTCCATGAGGCTTTAACAGAATCTCCAACCGCTCTTCTGTCTTTGACCACCGTCTTTTTTTTATTTTTTATTTCTTCCTGCCCTTATGTCCCATCGCACACAGGACCAGCAGCCGGACCAGCACCTAGACCGGGACCGGGGTCCACAGTCAGTGTTGTGGGGTTTGCAGGGTTAGCTGGAGGGGACGGTTCATGACCCAAAAGGCTGCGTCAGGGCCTGAGTGTGGGCTGAGCTATGACTGGTTGTGTGCTGACGGAGGACCGTGAGCGCTGGGAGACTGGGACATGTCTCTGCCGATGATTTCATTCACTGTGAAGACAGAAACAAACAGAGAAACACTTAATATCGCATATTCACTGCATAATTCACTTAAATGTGCCTCGTGTCAGCACATCTTATATCATTCTCACTGCAAAGTAGCAATAAAAGTTTCCTTTTAGTTATGTCAAATAAAGGTGTTTTTAGTTACCATTCTTACATGTTCTTCTACTTCTTTGTCCAGCCTTGAGCCCGGTTGTGACAAAATATAAATGAGGTATCACTATTACTACATGAGTACACTACAAGACAAGAGAACCACCAGATGTCACTGTACATGTTTGAATTTGAAGCCCCCAAGCGTCATAAGCCTTCATCCTTCCATCACTACTCATTCACATTTCTGGCCAGCAGAGGGCAGCGATGTTCCACACTGGGTTCCTCACAAGACTGCACGCTGAAACTCAACCGGCCGAGAGGCTAAAGGTGGAAAAACTCAAACAAACTGGCGGACCCGAAGTTCTGACGTGACATATAATCACTCCTGACATAACAAATGAGAGAAACTATTCCATTCACTAAATGTGCCAGTTCTGACCTTTGTTTGAGTCCAAGAAGTGACTCCTATAAACACAGCCCTGCATGGCCGGCTGAACACTGGGGCTGTCCGTTACTTCATAAGAGCTTTAATGGTAGTTCAGTACATTTCCTCAGGCCTGTTCATGGGGTTCTTAAAGCAATGGCAGAAAAAGGGCAGCGTAAAAACCAACCCACTGTCAAAAACACGAGCGAGGTTAATTACTCCACCGACTCAGTTAGAGTCTAATTTGAAATAAATAACAGATTACTCTCTCTCTGCGCTGATGCCTGTTTTTCAGTCAACGCGTGTGACGGTTTTACATCTGCTGCCTCCATCCAGCATTCACACTGGGACCACATGAGACGCAGCGGAGAGCTAGTAAAAAGCGCAGCCGTGAAGTAAATCAACTTCAAATACTTTGACGCGGTGAGGAAGACATGAGGACAGACAGGCAGACTTTCATTTGTTTGGAATTGATGGAAAACGCTTTTTCCACTGTCACAATGCATGTGTGTGTTACTCCTGTGACTTCTCCATGTGATTTCTCAAAGTGTTTTGAAAGGTGACGTTGACAGGTCAGAAACCCGAAATGCAGAAATCAGACTGGGCAGACTGGTTAGGGAAGGTGCAGCAGAGACCTCTAGCCCAGTTTGACACTGGGCTAATTTATAAGCAGACCTGTCTGTACATGTTCATCAAAATGCAGCTCCTCTCTTCGACACCTATTTCTGTCCACTCTTGCAAACGTACTGTGAAATCTCACCTTCTCCAGGCCCATAATAAACACATGTATTACTGTAACTTAAAACGCAGGCAGTTGGGTGACTGAGTCAAATGATGAGCAAATGAACCCAGCCAAGTGTTTCATGAGAGAAAAGAAACCATATTTAAATGCGATGACACAGAGCCCGAAACGAACGCTGTAAAATAAAACAAATGCATTCGTGAAGCCACACAGCTTTCATCAGTTCAGTAAAACATAATAATCCTCATAAGATTCCTATCTGTTTCACAGTTTCATCATCTCTTCCTCAAACTACAGTCCGCTCTAAGTGGCTTTCTTGTGCGCATGTTTCCGTTGAACACCTGAACTCTCTGACAGCCTCTGTCGCAGGACCAGCCGTTTTCATTTAGTGTACATTCTGTTGTTTTATTTGTGTTTTCTGCTGCTTGCTTTTGTGTCTGGCCACCATCACTCACATCATCCTGTTAGCGTGGGAGGCTCTTCCTTTCCCATGTCAACCATGTTCACACACAATCACACTCACAGCACCACCACGCACTTATGAGACTACACTGTGACTATCAAAGCAAACATTTACCTTTGTATATATAACACCGAGGTATAGTATACAACAACTTGGCCAGCTTATTGATTTTGTCATATAATTCCATCGTTGAAATAAAACTGTGATGGGGGAATACAGATCTCCTTTAAAGGCTGTGACCTTTCAGAGGACAAGTGGTGCAACTGTGCTGGAAATGAGCAGCGTCTTAAAGCTGTTAAAAGAGCATCAGAGCAGCTGTATCGATGAAATGAAAAAGCTTCTTTTGTCCAAGCACAGTGATTACTGAAATGTAGCTGAGAAATGTGTCATGCTTCAATCATATCACTTTGATCACATAACAAATATATAAAATACTAATCTCTCAAAATGGATCATGGTCTGTAGGCTCATTTAGGCACTTTTACTTTTACTACTTTACAGGCCTGTCAAAGCCACCTGCACAGCAGAAATGTTATGTGGTAAACTCTGTAGCTGTGTTGATTGATGGGAGTCAATCTGCTCTAACACCACAGGAATATAAGCAACAAGTGCGAAAGACCGACACCAAGTGGGCGTGCAAAAACTCACTTTCCGCTGAACTGATTAGATTGTTGCAGAGGCACAACATTCACCTATCGACTGATAAACTCAGGAGAGGCACAATTAGCATAAAACTGAAAACCCATGAGTCGACCAACTTAAGAAGAATTCCTCTCAATCTGATTCACTCGGTTTTCTCATAAAAAAGGGGCCGTAAGAGGTTTCCCCACGCAATCTGTCAGAAACATTTTCGTTAGGTTTTACTCTCGATATTACAGCTGCGCTCGATGTAAATTTGGAAGGCTTGATTTGGGGCCGTTTGAAAAAAGCTTGAACTTATTTTGGAAGTGAATTTCCATTGCAGACTAACAGAAACCGGAAAGGAGGAAACTGCACCTTATTTTTTGTTGTTTTCCTTCTGACTGGATGTCAACAACTTACTGAGACATTATTGTAGCAAAACTATTTACAAATGTGAAATGAGGGTTGTGGGACTGTATCTGATTTGTAGATTTGTAATAAATAAAATACGTACTGAGGTTTGTGAATGTGTAAAAAAAAAAAGATCTGGAAATACAGACAACTCAACTGTCTCTTCTGTCTTTTTACACTGCAACATCTCGACTGTGGCAAGGATCTGCACATGCATGTGGTGATTTATCTGTGCGCCTCATTAGTCACACCCACTTCTGTCAGACGAACATCTTGAGGGCAGTGTCAGTAGTAGAGGCGGTTTGACCACAGGAAATGTAGTACTGAGGTGATATACAGCGGCTCTGGGGATGACGAAGACACAAGGGGTACAGGCGGGGACAAGCGGGGACAGGAGAGACATGAAACGGGAGAGAACTGAGGGGGAGCTCGGGCAGGAGTCAGCGCTGAGCGGGGGTTACGCGGGGTCAGCTCCTGGTTGCCTGGGGCCAAACCCGGCAAGAAAACCTCCCCGGCATCCCTGCCGTCGAACTGGCCTGTATCGGTCTTGGAAGCTGTGTAATGTGTAGAAAGACAGACCATTGAGAGGCCGGCTTGAGTTGTAACTGGTGACTGTATTTCCAGCTCCTGGGGCAAATACTTTTCAGTCATTAATATGTATGTACACGTTCACACATTCACCCACACATTACAAATCTTAATATACTTTTTTAATTTACATTTACATATCTGATTACGCACACATGGATTGAGATATAGTTACATCACTCTCCACTCACATTTGCAAATAGTTTTGCTACAATAATGGCCCCAATAGGAAACAATATTATGTAAAAACATGTAGCACTAAATACACTTCAGCAATCTACAAAAGTGTCTCTTTGAGGGGAAAAAAAACATACACCATATAAAAAGTATTTTACATAAAACAGAAGCTTAATTTTCCTGTATCAATGAGCAATAATATGTGCTTTAAGATACAACCATTCATTTAAAAATGGAGCTCCACACATCAATGATCCAGAAGTGAAAGAGAGGTTTGATTTGAGCCGAGCCTATGAGGAGTTTCATATGCTGATAGTGTTTTTCAGATTTACTGGTACTGCTCATGACAGTGCAACAGAAAGATGGTGATTCAGCGCTGCCAGCCATAGTAAGTGTGGCTCTGAATGGCTCAGCCTGAGGGAGATCCTCTGCAAATGACTAGGAGGGGGGCTCCCTAGACAAAATATACATCTGCAGTCAGCCGACTGCTACTATTGCTACTACTACTACTACTACTACTGCTGCTGCTCTCAGGTAGGCTTCCATCAGATGGATCCTTTCCCTGCGTGCTAATTGTTTTTAATGCTCACTTGGTTGAGATGGGAATTCAAAAAACAACTACTTAAAGGAGCATGCAGAGAATGAGATCGGAGTCCTCTCCTGTTCATCATCTATATAATAAAATGTTATAGTAAAAATCAGTCCTGCTTCACGTTTTTATTTGGATATTTTATTGTAAAAGTTAACACTAATCTTTAAAACAAAGCTTCTCTGTGTTCAGAGGAACTGCAGGGGAAATAGGGGGATGCTTTAAATCTCTGAAGTAGACCAGTCATTTGTTAAACTAAGTGTCATTGTTCACTGGCAGTAGACATTAGCACCAGTCAGGAACTAGCCACAGAGTTCAGATTAATCTCTCACAAAATGTGCCAAAGAAAGATAGAACCAAAGAAGAGAAAATGAACTGTTGCTAACAAAAGTATTGTTAAATCCACATACAATAGATGAATGTCAGGAGATTCTTTAGATTTCCCTGAAAGAAAGTTTAACATCTAGCAGGATACCACTGAGATTGGGTAATCTCCCGTCTCCGTTTCTAAAGTGCATGTCAAAGGAGGTATATTGAAAAGATTTCCATAATGCAAAACAGAAGTGAAACTGGCAGATGGACATTCAGTACAATAAACATATCTACTGTCGAAATGGAAAATGGGTAATTATTATAACCCTCTATGACACATTGAAAAAAGTTCCCTGACCCAGGCTTAAAAAACTTTACTCTGGCAGAGCGGCTTAAGCAAATAACTCGAAGATTGACTGATTCTTGAGTCCAGCAAATGAAGACAACATGCCACAATGGAAAACATTTGTGCAGAGGAAACAGAAAGAGGCAAGACTTGGGTCTGCCTGCAAGAGGGAATATCAAAGCACAGTTTCCACTTGCAGGGCCCTGTAATGACATGCAC